GAGTCTTCTTATTATAACAAGAAATCTATGAAGCAACATTAAGTTAGATGTGGTTTTATTTTTAGATCTTGCATTAATTCATTGAAATGCCAAATGCTAATTTATCTGGTCTGGTGCTTCTGTGTATTTAGAGATTCTTGATAAAATCCAAAGAAACTGCAATGTTATTGGTCCTGATCTTGCATCTCAGCTTCAGTCACTTTTCTATCACTGTAACATAGCCGTGCATTTTTCTATAAATATTTTTGTGGTAATTGTTCTGGCGACCTTTACTCTTTGGTACCTAGACTTTATGAATTTTAGTGAGGTACTTGATTGATAGCTCAGTCTCATCATTTTAGAGTTTAAATGGCTAGATGTAACCATAAGTTCCATGAGTAGTTTCCTCACTTGTGGAACTTTCTTCTGGCTTCCTGCTTTCTTGTCAATTTTGATCTTCAAAAATTTAATGCGAAAATGGTGGTTGTCAGAAAAAAAAAAGAACTGCTGAAATGTGAAGGTGGGAAAAGAACTGCTGAAATGTGAAGGTGGGAAAAGAACTGCTGAAATGTGAAGGTGGGAAAAGAACTGCTGAAATGTGAAGGTGGGAAAAGAACTGCTGAAATGTGAAGAAAAACAAATGTTATTTTTTTTTATCTGTACCTGTTTATAATATGTCCTTTTGAAAATAACAAACTTTTAATCAAAATGAGTTGAAGTAAATTTTCCTACTGTGTCACATTGTTAATGGTGGTGATATTAATATATGAATGCAGAATCAGTAGTTTATAAAGCCCCAGGTGAACCTGCTTAGTATAAGTTTATTTTCTAAGAGCATTTGTTAATTATGAACGTTCTGAAACCTTACACTCAAACAATACATCTGCAGAAATTAGAACTTCTGCATCATGACAATGAAAGGCTGTATTGCAATCAACAGGTGTTGTAAACTGAGAAGCCTAGAATTCACAGTTGGTGTACACCTCCTCCATGCAGCCCCTCTTTGGCACCACCAGACTTCTGCCTGTTCCCAAAATTGAAAGAAGAGTTGAAAGGTCAATATTTTTTTTTTATCCTGTGTGCAGCTGGATGAAAAACAAACAAAAGACTTTCTTTATGGACAGAATATTTTGAAAAATGTTGAGCACTAAATAAACTTATAATTTTGAAAGTAAATAAAATTTACTTCATTTTGACACTAGTTTTATTGTTCTATATTCGAAAACTAATTTTATACAATTGCAGACAGTATGAATTAAACCTTGGACAAGGTATCAGACACTAAAAATTGTATATACTATTGGTACCACTTATATGCTGTATTTATTCAATGATATCCACTCAGTGTATAAGAATGTTTCAAAACCTACCTTTTATCAACAGTACATGCTAATGGTATTTTTTTTTCCTTTTATTCTTTAATTATTTTTGTGGTGAATATTTTTGGTTTAACACCTGGCCTCAAATTTTATAAAGTATTTTTCTCAGATTGAATTGCTACATATATTTGAGTATAATGCTCGTTTTTATGATCAGTTTTTTATGCAAAAAAAAGAAGGAAGTCATACTTTACACAGGTAATTTTTTTTTGACGAGGTTACAAAAAAAATTGTGTTTTCAGTGACTCGTTGCACTACACACATGTAAATTTTTTCTGGAGGGGTTAAAGTTAATGCAAAAAATTCAGGGGAAGCACTATACATAAAGTTGGCTTATATACAAATATGTATGGTAGTTATATTTTCCTCTTTGAAAATTGAGTTCCTTATCAAGGGAAGGGTAAAAGAGGTTCATAATTTGTCTATAAGGCAGATTTTACAAGTATATGATTTAAAGTTAGGAATAAAGTTTTGTATGACACAAAAGTTAAGAAAAACACAAAATGAGTTTCAATAATTTTTAGCTCAGTCTGAAGCAAGTAGTTTTTTTGTTTTTTTTATAACTGCCAGTAAAATCAAGATATGAGAATTTTAAGGCAAACACCCACTGTACACAAGAAAGGAAAAAAGTAATACATAATTGAAATCTTTTGGGATCAGGTGCTACTTAAACAGAAAATAGGGATTTCCAGTCATGAGCTTATATTGTTAAGCTGCATTCTTGTATGGCCAGTCATGAGCTGTCAGTTGGAGAAAGTGGCAATTTGAGTTGGAGTATTTTGAAGATGGGATTCATGTTTTCTTTTCTTCCCATGGTGATTTTTCACCTTCTGTCCCTTTATTGAATATGCATTGGACCTTTTTGTTAACACTGATGCAAACAAGAATCCGAATGCATGTGGTGAAGTTGTCCAATCAACAGAAGACTGTCCAAGGGCTGTGGCTATATCTTGGCACTTGTTTTTACTAGCGTGTCACTTACGTACTCAAGGAAAGAACCCCAGACTATATATATATATATATATATATATATATATATATTTTTTTTTTTTTTAAGGTCATTTGCTTCAATTACTGAACTGTACTTACAATTACCAAAAAAATCACCCCAGTCTGTTTCATTGAATCTGTAGTGTTTAAGAAAAACTTTAAAACCCACATAAATTAAGATTTGGTAAAATGAACAAATTAGATAGATCCAAACAGACACGCACTATTAGAGCAATTTTTATTAATTAATCAATTTCAGACAAAGAATAAAAAACCTTTTTTTATTGTAAATTAATTATTAATAGGATATTATATCCCTACTGAATGAATATCAACATAAATTTAATTAACTTATAATTTATGGAGAAAGATTACACAGCAATAAAAACAGATATCAAATTACCAATCTGCAAAGTTTCAGATTTTAAGCATGTATAGTTATTAAGTTATTAGAAATGTTATACACTTCAAGTAACACACATTCAAATAGAGCCTGTCATATATTTGCATGCGTTTTTTATCTACCAACATGTCAGTGTGTCGAGGATAAATAAAGGACACCATATCATGTAGGCAGTCTGCATGGTAGTCTGAGTAGCAACCAGATGTAAGAGTTTGAGTTGAAGTTGTAAGAGGAGTCAGTAAGAAATCTTCCTGTATCTAGTTTTCAATAGAAGAAACTGGACATAAAACAAAAAACTTTGTAAAAAAAAACAAAAACAAATCCAAAACAAAAAAAAAAAAAAAAAAAAAAAACAATAACCCATCAATTTATGGAATATAAAAATTTGGTATTTTATACTTTATTTGTTTTCATTTTTTTCCTTTCCTTTTTTGTTGTGGGTGACATATTTTTACAAGACCAAATTTTTCAGCCCTGCCTCCACAACCTTCCACAGGAAATAAAAATAATTTTTCTTTTGTATATCTTGATATTTTTTATTTTTTCTCAACTCTACATTTGTCAAAATATATTGATTACAAAATGAATGCAAAACAAATTATTTCAGTACAGTTACTCCTTGTCTGGCAGTTCTCATGGTTCCTTGTGGGTCTGCCAGTAGAATTCTTTGATTCAGTTCCAAAGTACAATTTGAAATCTTTATAAGCTGATTTGTTAAACTGAAAGCTTCATACCATGCACAAATGGTTTGAAACCAAATTCAGCTCAAAATTCAGTATTTATTCACTTTTTCCTACCTCCTTATAAATGATTTTTCATACAGCCAATTACAAAGCAGAAGCAAAATCAAATTGTAATTCAACACATAATCTATATAAATATTAAAAATATATTATCTATTTTCCAAACTCTTAGAAAAATCATTAAAACTAAGAAAACTCTTAAAATTTCTTGTGTAATAGTTTGAAAAAAAAAAAAAAAAAATTTAGTTGACATTGACTTAATTTAAGACTACAAATGTCTGAAATACTAAGTGTAAAAAGGGGGTGATAGAAAACTTCTTGAGAGTCAATTTTTTTTTAAAGATAAGTAAATTATTTTCTAGCATTTTAGGTGGTTCAGTAATGGCCGAACCTGTGGGTTGCCTGGTTAAACATTCTATTTATAATTTACTTCTAAAGGACCGCACTTTTATAAAATGTACTTGTATGTCAACTCCCCTGATATTTTTTCTTTGTCTTCATCTTTATTGTTGCTTTAAATTAACAATTAATATTGTTATTTAATATTATTAATATACAATAGGCACTGTGACCAGAAATAATCATCTTTCTTTTTTCTCTTTTTTTTTTTTTTTTTTTTTTTAAATATTTTAGCTATTACTATAGATCACAGTAATAAGTAGGAGTGTCCAATTTACTATACAGAATCCATTGCAAAATTGATTGTCCTCCAAAAGCCAAAACAAAATCTGTTCATACAATGTGATTTCTTAAAATTGGAAGACACTTTTTTTTAGAATTTTGTAATCTTGGAGTACTTAATCGATAGTCATATATGAAAAAAGAACTCCAGATTACAGAAATCATGTGGTATGAACATATTTTGTTTTGGCTGTTGTAAAGGAATCAATTTATATCACAAATTGCCCCCCCAACACCTAAAAATTTAATAATTTTTTTTCTTTAATATTTGTAATCTGGAGTGCTTAATCTATAATAATATGAAAAAAAAAATTGAATAAAATGATTATTTCTGGTCACAGTGCCGATTGTACGGTTCCACTAACAATTCTTAACATGCTGATAGAATTTCATGAATTATTTAGATGAATAGTTTCATCTTTTAGAACTCTGCATTTTCAGCCTTTGTCAAGAGTATATTACAATCAAAATAAAAATTTAAAAAGTAATCTGATGAATTCTGCAAATAAGGAGTTTTGAAGAATACATTGACTATGTTCAAAATAATTAAAGATGAGTATATCACATACTCACTCTCTCTGTCTTGTCTCACTTTCTCACATGCTCTCTCTGTCTTGTCTCACTTTCTCACATGCTCTCTCTGTCTTGTCTCACTTTCTCACATGCTCTCTCTGTCTTGTCTCACTTTCTCACATGCTCTCTCTGTCTTGTCTCACTTTCTCACATGCTCTCTCTGTCTTGTCTCACTTTCACTCTCTCTCCCCATTTAACTCTCTCTCTATAATATGTTATTGATTAATTTCTCTTTCTTTGGTTTATTTGTAGGCAATATTTTTGGCATGATGAAAAAGGCAAGAAATTTAAATGTACAGCACCTGAATATGTTGATTATGTTATGTCATTCATACAAAAGGATATTTTAGAAGAAACAGTTTTTCCCACAAAATTTGGTAAGTTTCTCAAAATGGTATCACTGAACTCATTTTCAGCCAGAGGTGAGCCTTTGGATGTAAATACATTTATCCATTAATAGACTTAACCAAGAAAATTATCTCTTTAAATTTCTGTGATTTTTTTTTTTTTTTTTAATTTTTTTGTTTAATTTTATTTTTTGTACTTTGTAAGCATAAATATTTTAAAAGAAGGAAATCTCTTTATTTTGTTGTATATGATGCATTTTTTTTTTCCATATATTTTCAGGATGTATGTGATCATGTCTCTCTATGTATTCTCTTTATAAATAAGTGTAAATATTATAATTTTTTACTTCTTAAATTATAATAATTATTTAATAATGTTCTTTCATTTTACTCAAATTGTTTCAGCTGTGTCAAATAGGAATTTTGCATGCTAATAAAAGTAAAATATTTCAATAATAGTATGCCTCAATGTTATGAAGACTAGAATAAAATCTGTGTTTATAGTCGTGTGAATATCACCCTGAAAAAAAAATTCAGGTTTGTTCAAGTGGGTGTAAAAAGGGAATAAAAAAAATTTTCTTTCAATTTGATGATGATAATAAAAATATAAAAGTAATGAATATAAATATTAAAAAATTAATAAATATAGATATAAAAAAATGAATATTAAAAGATTAAAAAAAATAAATATAAAAAATAATATAAGTATTAAAAAATAAATATAATAATAAATATTAAAAAATAGACAACAAAAAATAAATTTAAAAAATAAATATAAATACATAAAAAAATAAGATATAAATAATAAAAATAAATTTAGATTTTTAAAACATTTAAAATAATTTAAATAAAATTATTAAAAATTAAAAATAATAAAGTGTCCTTTTAAATAGATTTTGAACTCAATTTTTGTTGTTGTTTCCACAATGTTTCAACTGACCCCTTGCTGCTGTTAATTAAAAGATTTCTTTCCTCCTCCTCTTCTTCATGTCTTCTCACCTATCTCTCTCTGAAACAGATGAAATACAATAGACAGCATTATTTATGTAGTTGGTACCCACAGAACAATACACTAATGATTAAAGCATTAGTTTGTGAATTTAGTGAGAGAGTAAATATGAGTTCAACCCCTGGGCCTGGTATTACAGACTTAGACTCAATGGAAACAGGACAAGCAGTGACTGAGTAGTACTAAACAAGAACAAGACAAGATATTCCTAGATATAATGGGATGAGAATAATCTGTCCTCATAGATTAAATAAAGAGTTCAGTTTGAAATTCCATTAAGGTTAACTGGATCAACAGACACTTGAAGGTCAGAAGGCACAACAGCCAAAAAATTGAGATAGCAACAAATTTATATTTCTCTTGTTCATGTCTTTATAGTCAAGACATTGTTATTCAGAGCACATTGCAGTGTTAATTGGTACAAATTATATTTCCCATATTAGTCTGAAGTCCTTTTTAAAAGAAAGGCATGAAGTCCAATGAAATATTTTTAGTGCAACTCCTCAAAAACTAATCAGAAATTGATTGTTTCTAAAGACTTAAAAGAAAAAGAATCATTTGTTCATGCTTTTTTGTCTGTTAAATTTTTCAAAGATTGTTTCAAGAATAGCAATTACAAAACGGAAATACCAACTTTCTAATGTAACCTCAATGCTTACTGACCCATTCATACACTGGGTGTCCATTGTTGTCAGAGCATTAATAGCAATTTCTCTGGTCAGTGGAGCAAATGTATGATTATTTTTTTTTTTTTTCTTTTTTAATTTTCAATCCACTCAGGACAGCTATTTAAAACACTAACATCAGACTATTACTTACACACCTCGCACACTGGTTGATCAATAAGTCTTTAGCTTGTTATTAGCTAAAATTTGATCTGAAATGATACATTGATTTAAGTGATTTTATATTCATCAATAAATAAAGAGAGACTATTGGCAAGGCATTGGTTGAAAAGTAAATGTTGGCTCCAATCCAGAGGAATGGTTGTGAGGAACATTCCCTCCCCAAATTTACAGACAAATCCTAGAGATGCTGGGATTTCTTCTTAACCAATAATCACTTGACTGTATCCCTTTTGTGTGTGAACACAATTCTTACTTTGTGAAATTTTTACCTTATTACTGTTGCTTTGCTCAGTTTTGATTTGCATATATTTGCTTTGTATTATTTTGCCATGTTCTTTTTTCCTCTTTTGTTATTTATTGAAAATGTCAATTCTGTTTGAGAACTTTGCCAATTATACTTAACCATGGCCAATGACCTTTCAGTAAATATTTGTAAAATAATTTTTTTCTGATTATGCTACTAACTGAAGTACATAAATTAGTACCCACATTAATGTGTCAATAGTCAAAGGATTGTTGGATTTGTATTTTATTGTAAACTCACTAGCCTGGTGAAGTGTAGCAACTCAACTTGATACTGATTCAAGTGATCAGAAGATCTCTGGAAAGATGTGAAGCCATGCTATCTTGATTGCTGTCTTGTATGCAAATCAACGGAATGAAACTCATACCAATTCTGAGCAGTTTTGACACCAATGACACTCTGCATTATGCTGCTGAAATGACCCATTGTTGTTGCACTACATGGAATCAATGATTGGGTGTAAATGGTCCCAAAACAGTGCTATTAAGTGGTCATCAGTCAATGGCATGTTTGCACACGTCTTACTTGAGCAAGTCAATTTTTTCTTCTTTGCCCTTTTTTTGCCTTTTTTTCTTTTTTTTGCCTTTTTTTTTCTTTTTTTTGCCTTTTTTTTTCTTTTTTTTGCCTTTTTTTTTTTTTTTTTTTTTTTTTTTTTTTTTTTTTTTTTTTTTTTTTTTTTTTTTTTTTTTGCCTTTTTTTTTTTTTTTTTTTCTTTTTTTTTCTTTTTTTTGCCTTTTTTTTCTTTTTTTTGCCTTTTTTTTTTTTTTTTTGCCTTTTTTTCTTTTTTTTTTTTTTTTTTTTTTTTTTTTGCCTTTTTTTCTTTTTTTTGCCTTTTTTTTTTTTTTTTCTTTTTTTTTTTTTTTTTTTTTTTTTTTTGCCTTTTTCTTCTTTTTTTTTGCCTTTTTCTTTGCCATTTTTTCCCTTTTCTTTGCCTTTTTTTTTTTTTTTTTTTTTTTTTGCCCTTTTTTTTTTCCTTTTTCCCCTTTTTTTTTCCATTTAAGTTTTTTTTCCTTTCTTCTTTTTTTTTTTTTTTTTTTTTCCTTTTCTTTTTTTTCCTTTTTTTTTTTTTTTTTTTTCTTTTTTTTTTTTTTTTAACCTTTTTTCTTTTTTCTTTTCTTCTTTTTTTTTCTTTTTTTTTTTCCTTTTTTCTTTTTTTTTTTCTTTTTTCCTTTTCCTTTTTCTTTTTTAAATTTTCTTCTTTTTTTTTCCTTTTTCTTCTTTTTTTTCCTTTCTTTTTTTTTCCTTTTTTCTTTTTTTTCCTTTTTCTTTTTTCCTTTTTCTTCTTTTTTCCTTTTTCTTCTTTTTTTCCTTTCTTCTTTTTTTTTTTTTTTTTTTTTTTTTTTTTTTTTTCTTTCTTCTTCTTTTTTTTTTCTTTTTTTTTTTCCTTTTTCTTCTTTTTTTCCTTTCTTTTTTTTTCTTTTTTTTTTTCTTCTTCTTTTTCCTTTTTCTTTTTTTTCCCTTTCTTCTTTTTTTTTCCTTTCTTCTTCTTTTTTCTTTTCTCTTCTTTTTTTTTTCTTCTTTCTTTTTTTTTTTTTTTTTTTTTTTTTTTTTTCTTTTTTTCTCCTTTCTTCCCTTGTCCATATATAAGCCATGAAAATAGTGATATTTTAGCAACATTTTTATCTGTGGGATAATGTGGCTATAGTGTGTAAAACTGTTCATCACCCACAATGCCATGCAAATGCTTTTGAGGCTGAAAGGTGAGGATTGAATGAACATTATTGGTCTGAAGTGATACTGAAAGGAATTGTGTGTTTCCCATTAACAATAGTGATTTGTGTTCAAGCTTGGGTAAAAATGCACAATTTTGGGTGCTGATTTTTTTTTCTTCCTCCAAAGACAGGCTGTTGTAATGGCATCATAGAGAAAGGTTTATTTTATATTCTTGGTACAGTTCAGTTATGTGCCATGTGTGGTACATGCTTAGGCAATCATGCATCTTTTGATATATGACTGATGAGGCAGATTTTTTCCCCCACAGTAGGTTGCCATTTCTTTCTGTGCTAGACCAGTTGCCATCCAAGGCCTTAGAACTATGTCTGTCCTGCTATTTACCCATAGCTGGGGGGAGAAGAAGAGGATTCATACCTTTCCCAAGGGTATTAGCATGTAAGTGAGCTCTCTGATTCCTTAATTCGAGACGCTATCCATTACTACACCATGCCTTTGTTTTTTGTCCTTCAAAGACTGGTTGTTTTCATGCCATAATATAGGAAGGTTTATTTTATACTAGCAGTAGAGCCCGGCGTTGCAACAGTAAGATATCGACCATCATAAAGACTGAAAAATAAAATTGACAAAGATTATTGTTTAAGGTTGACAGACACACATGTCTTAATTCGTTTTTTTTTTTTTTTTTTTTTTTTTTTGTTTTTTTTTATGAATTGGTCAAACTCAAACTAAAACATTGTTTTCAATCGTTATGAGTCTACCGATTGAATAGAATTTTCTTATAAACAATTGTCTTGTAAATGGAATTTTTAAAGCATTCTGAATGTAAAAATAAAGAAAAAAGTGTGCAAGACAATAAGAAACACTACCTGCCAAAAAAAATGAAGTTTTGTTGAAATCAGTTGAAAAATGTAGGAAATCCAATTCCATATATAAATAAGCACACACACGCATGCGAACAACCAACCTGGGTTTTATGATAAGTATAACTCGATAACTTGATATTAATAAGTATAACTCGAGATGAGTTGTCCCCCCTTTCATTAATGCCTCTTAATTGTGTTTTCAAATTGATTTCATGCAAAAACAATTGTGTTTTTCCAATTTTTGGCACTGTCAGAACCACTGCAAGGTAATTTTACATAGTCCTGTGAAGTTTTGTTGAAATTGGTTGAAAAATGCAGGAAATCCGATCCAA